AAAAAAATAATATTTATGATTATTTTTCATGACATTCAAAAGTTCTAAATTTAAGTATTTTCTTGCAAACTAAATACATAATTATTTTCAACTAAAATAATCAAAGTGTCTACCACATCAAGTTTAGAAAAAATAAATTAATAAAATTTATTAATTGAAATTTGATTCGTATATATACAAAATAATTAATTAGTTGTTTTCGCAAAGTAACATTTCTTTTAACACCATTATCCAAATGACAATGTATTTTTGTTTTTATTTTTTTACTTTTTTTGGGCAGGAGCAATAGATTAAATTGCATCAATAAATTAAATATTAAAAATTGTAAATTAATTATAAAAGTCATTTCTATAGAAAAGAAGAGAATCTTTCTAACTCTGCCAACAAAAACGCAGAAACGCGTATGACCTTTCCCTTCATCTGCCTCTCTCTTTTCTTTTCTTTTTTTTTTTTAAAAAAAAAATCACCAACAAAATCCACAGCTAATCAACTACAAAAATCTGATTAGAGAAGCATTCATATATATCAAAAAATCAACGCCAACCTATCATCATAGTTTTCCAGTAATTGCAACATATATTTCCCACAAAAGATTAATTCAGATTGGCATAGCAGTTGACGTCTTCATCATCGAAATCATCCTGGAAGAAATTGAAGAATTCAGCATCGGTAAGGCGGTGGAGGTCCAAGAGAAGGCTGCCTCCGCCACGGATATGAGACGTTGCCAAATCTGAACAAACAGTCGTCACACCAGATAGTCGCGTCTGCCGGTCGCCGAGCTGCTCTCATTTCCTTGCCGATTCGCTCACGAGCCAAACCTATCGATTGTGTCTGCCCTCGACCGTAATCGCACTACCGTACCAGTGCTGCCCCATAGACGGGCGAACCTTGGTATATATGAATCTTTTTTTATCTTTTCTGAAAAAGAATAGAACTTTTGTCTGGTGAGAAAAAAAGATGAACTTTTGGGCATGTTTTGGAACATTGTGCTTATCTGGTTGTGGTGAATAGTGGTAGGATGGACATTGATTGCATCAAACGTTTCTATCGTTGTATAAACTGCGGGGTAATTTGCAGAGGATTAATTGTTGAGGTGTCTTTTTTTTTCATGTACGGGAGAATATAATGGTATGATAGATATTTTTTTGATCTCGGAAGACGAAGACCGATGTGATTATATTAACAAAGATATGTAGTGTCTGTGTATGGTATGTGAATCCATTCATATATTTTGTACAAATTTTATTGATTGTTGTAGTTCGAATTTAAAAAATGACCGCCAATTCTAAAAAAAATTACTAATAAAAGTAGAGATAAAATATTTTGGCGGGATTTTAGTTACTATTACAGGTAAATACCAAACTTTTTTATATTTATATAGATATAGATTATTTATATTATGTAAGTTACCCATATCAATTAAGTTGTTATTTTTACCAAGATTTATCATTTGTTAAAATTGTAAAAAAAAAATAGTTAAAAATTCTCTATAAGTATTTATTATGCTATTTTTTTTTGGACCAATTTTCTTTAAATAGTATTTACATATTAGAACTATAAACTATGATTACGATTTGACATTAAAATTATATTATAATAAGGACGATTTTCAAACCATCAATTTTATATCCTTTCTAAGCTCTATAGTTTTGGTTGATTTCTAGGAGGTATGGAAGAAAAATATTGCGGTTGATTTTTAAGAGATATGAAATATGTTTTTCATGTATCTATATTTAATTAATTAAATATTAGCTATTAATTAAATATAAGATATGATGAGTATTAATGTATTACTAATTTCTATTAAAAATAAGCCAATGTAAGTGATTTTAGGTAGTTCATTTGTTAACTAAAAATATAAGATAAGATAATTATTATTGTATTACTAATTTGCTATTAATAATATGTCAAATTCAGGGTTTTTAGGCAGTTCATATTTTTACAAAACCACTCATCCTTTTATAATAGTATAGTATAGTATAGATAGATAGATAGATAGATAGATAAATAGATAGATAGATAGATAGATAGATAGATAGATAGATAGATAGATATAGATAGATAGATAGATAGATAGATAGATAGATAGATAAATAGATAGATAAAATTGCTAAAGTTTTCTTGCAAAACTTTTGAGCATTTAAATTGTCCACCTTAATATAATCAACATCAATTATATTTTTGTTTTAAACTTGGATTTACTAGAAATCATACCGTTTCATTTCTAGTAGTCCTTCATGTATAGGGTGGGTAAAAAAATAATATATCTATTCTCTTATCCTCTATCCCCTATATATAATTATCGAATGCGCTGAACCTACGTGGCTGCTTCTGGTGCTTTGGAATCCTACTTGGCAAAGAATCATGCTTCGTAATTAGGTTTGGACAAGTAATATTTATATATTAATCATTAATAATCTAGGTTCGGACATTCTATAAATATTATTTAGTTAATTTAGGTATATTAATATTACTTGTACTAATATAATCCTTTAATTCTTTGTAATTCTACATAGTGAGACATTAAGTGACTAATATATCCTTGACTTTTTATTTACTTCACACAATTACCGATTGAATTTTAAATGTATTTTAAAAGTTGATAACTTTTGTATTTCTTATGGGTTTTATATATATAGTATATCAAATTAATCATCTTTTCGTGATCTTCGATTTTACATCCATGTTGTATATATAAAATAAATAATTTATATTTATCTTTATAATAATAAAAAATAATAATATTTACTAAAATTCATTAGAAAAATAAAATTATTACAAAGATTAAAAGGTTATATTAGTACAAGTGATATTAAAATAACTAAGTTAGCTAAATAATATTTATAGAATGTCCGAACCTAAATTATTAATGATTAATATATCAATTATTTGTCCAAAGCTAATTACGAAGCATGATTGTTCACCAAGTAGGATTCTGAAGCACCAGAAGCAGCCACGTAGGCTCAACGCATTCGAGAATTATATATAGGAGTGATATGTTGTAAGTAAAAAAAAAAATTATTATAATATAACACAAGTAAGTCGCATAAATAAAAAGTGGCATACTAAATATATAATAATATATTTATTTTGATAAAAAGTATTTAATTTTTCAACTACTTTTTTTCATTAATTTTAAATTCTAAGAAAAAAATTAGCAAGCACCCGTGTAACATACGGGTGTTGCTAGTATCTCTACTATACATATAAGCAAACACTTTGGGGCATTCTCTAGCAGACACGTGTCTTTTTTTGGACAAATTTGACCTTCCTTTTGTCACTTATTTACACTCTCGCCATTGAATTGATTTATTGTGAATTAAATGGTCCTAATTTCCGGGTCTTCAGTTCGAGGTCGTCACTATTCCCTTTTTTTGGACTTGTGCATGTTTGCGTGTAGGAGTTATTTTCAGACGCACGTATTTCATGAGCGAAAAGATAGAGTACAAAAGAGAGGTTCATTCTTCTTCATTTCAAAATTAAAGGAGACGACTTTTTGGCTTTCATCCCCATAGGAGGTATTTTTTTGTGCCTTTTTCCTTCTATTTTTTTCCGATTCAACCGTCGATCTGTGTGTTGTTCAAGTTTTTGCGATCGATAGAGGTTTGCGCGGCCATGATGTTTTTGTTTCTGAAAATTTCAGGTACGAATTCAACCAATTTAGGTTCATATGGGGTTTATTTTCCCGATTTCGTCTGTAGAATAAAATTCTGTCACAAATTTCACTCCCCGAAGCCCTCTTCTCCTCTCGGTATAACCCGACCACTTGCACAAAGAAACCGTCGCAGGCTGCCGGCGTCCCAACCGTGCCGAGAACCCCAGCCGTCGCACAGCAACAACCCTCTTCCTCCGTTCGCCGAGCCCAGACTCTGGCATCGACGAGGACTTGCGGGAACCACTGTCGAGCATCCCATTAAATTTCCCTCATCTTCTCCAAATTTTCCGTCGACCACCCGAGCACCCAAAAAGGAGCTTTGTTTCGGCCGATGTGAGCTACCGAGTGCAGACAGACAAGCCACCAGGTGCGGCTAAATCATTCAACCCGACATAAACGAGATCTGGCGACTGTGACCGAGGGCAGCGGTCTGAGCGGGATCCAAACACCTTCGATTTGCAGAAAATTAGTCGCGTCTGAAACCACCATCGCCGACGCGACCATGTCCGACTCGACCTTCCCAGGGGCTGAGTTTTGTTTCCGACGACGAGACCGAGTCCAGGTGACGATCGATCGAGAGCATCGACGGACTGAGGCGAGTGGACACCATTGCAGCGCCTCGCCGGTGTCCGAGCAACAATCCAGTCAGCCGTCGTGAGCTGCAACTGAGTTCAAGCAGCAAGGAGCCCGTCGGTGACCCGTCTGCGAAGGCCGAACCAGCGAGGCCCATCTGTATTCGTTCGGCCACCGAGAGTCGGGGTCTTGCAACGGCTGAGACGGGTTGTCTGTGATCTGTCCGCTTGTCCCGACGCTGCACCCCGACGCGAGCTGAGGTAAGGCAGCCATCACCGAGGCCTCTAATGTTTGGTTCCAATCTCTCTCGTGCATGTATTCTTTCAAAAGAGGTAAAAAGGCTGACCTTAGATAGATTATTCTGTTTTGAAATTCCAAAATTTAGACATTTCTCTCTTTACTTTTAATTCTTGTATTGTGAGATTGTTGAAATTTGTTAGTCGACCTCAGCTATGAATCTTTCATTGAATAAAAGAATGCTTTCTCATATATGGGCTATGGAATTGAAGCGGCCTCAACAAGACTATTTAGCGTGCAAGTAGAATAAAATTTTGAGTTTTTTGTTTCAGGGTATTTGTTAGTATTTGAAAGTTGGTGAAAGTGTAGATATGGAATGGTACAAGGATCTGCAGTCTAGGACATGTTTTTATCGTGTGTGTGATGAAAGACAAATCGCGGCCAGAACGAGGTAGCAATGTGATTGTATTGTTTGTTTCTTGCAATGTGAATGTTGATAATTATGGTTTTGGTTTGTATTTTAATCAGTACAGTAATGGTTGAGGTTAGTAAAGGCTATGTGATAGTTCTGGAGTCACTTTTGAAGAAGCAGAAAAGGGCTGAGGACTGGGCTCAAAAGAATTTGAGGAGGCAATGCATAAGCTCTGAGACCAAAAAATTGATTTGCAAGAAAGCAAGAGAGTATGCAAAGGAATATGAGCAACATGTTAACTTGAGTTATCTTTGGCTCTGGAATCAAATTAAGTCGTCTTTTGTTTTTTTCCTTTAGTCTCATATCTCATTTTTTTATGTAATTTTGTTGTCTAGGAGAAGGAGTTGATCCAATTGAAGCGCGAAGCTAGATTGAAAGGTGGCTTTTACGTGAACCTATAGCCAAGCTTTTATTTGTAATTAGGATCTGTGGGTAAGGTTTTACCTTGCTGCTCAATTTATGCCATATCTAGATCAATGTAAGAGAGAAAAAAAATTATTTACGTGCATGTTTATATGATTTCAGTATTAATGTTATGCACCCAAGAACCAAGAAAATTCTTCAGCTTCGGAGATTGAGACAGGTATTCAATGCAACTGTTATTGAGCATCCTGTTTGATCTTATTTGTCTTCATCCAATCATTAAGAGTCCATGAGTGCTAGAAATGATTTACTTTTTTATATCACTTGTCATTCCATGGTTTATTCTTCCTCTTATCTCACAACTTGTAAATTCTTCCAGATTCTAGAATTACCTTTTGGTTGTTTTGCCTGTTACTTTCTACGTGGAGCTTTATTAATTCCATTTGGCATCATGTACATGCTATGTTAAATTTAATTTTATTGGATTGTACCTTGTTTCAACTTGTAATCTATTATTGTAGTTGGACGCAAATTTAAATTACTTGAACTTGCAGTAACTTTTCATAAAAACAATTGAATATGTCCTTTGATTAGTTGTTTGTGCAATGAGATTAGGCCGTCTTGCTTCTTTTGAGTTTCAATGACTCCTTTCGCTCTAGGAAGAGAAAATCCATACTGAAGTCTTTTGTTATATTAATTGTGTTTCTGTTTGGCCTTGTAAAGATCTTCAATGGCGTCTTCTTAAAAGTAAACAAGGCCACTGTGAACATGCTGCACGGGGTTGAGCCTTACGTCACTTACGGGTATGATAACAGCCGACAGATGCAAGTAGTTTTACTTTAATTTAATCAACAATCTGAAAATGATCAACTCTATGAACTTTCAGATACCCCAACCTTAAGAGCGTTGAGGAGTTGATTTACATGCGTGGATATGGAAAATTGAACAAGCAAAAAATTGCTTTTACTGATAATTCCATCATCGAGCAGGTTATATATGTGTTTTCATTCAAGATAAATTAGAAAATTTTCTCCTTTTATATCATCTTTTCTCATTTCTATTTTTTTACTGCCATTTTTACATTTAGATGCTGGGCAAGTATAGAATAATCTGCATGGAGGATTTGATTCACGAGATCATGACTGTGGGGTTGTGTATACCCAGCAAGGTCGGGATTGATCTATGGTCATGGCAATATGAGCTCAAGCCGCCGCACCGGAGAACACTCGAGGAGGCAAGGATCTGATCAACTTTTCCAAGATTCCGCGTTGTTCAGTCGCTGTTGCTGATACTTCTGGAATCGCATCTGGTTAATCAATGGTTGGTTCCTTAAATGAAGATATTTCTCTGGATTGAGGTCTTTAAATATTTTTTTTTATTTATTTCTACTGTAGCTTTATAATTTTCCTTGACAAATGGTTCTTCTACATGTATATGATTTTAGGGAGAACTTAATAGGCTGGTTCTCAAGGAAGGGGAGAAATTTATGAATGTTTAGTGGAATAAACAACACATTTGAGTACAACTTGATATCCTGCAGTCCAAAAATATGTGCCACGGCAACCGACGCAACAGACGCGGGCCCAGTAGATCGACTCCAAAATAACGAAGGTTATTTTAAGGTTTCTTTTCTAATAATATCATTTCATTTTTCATTTTATTTTGTTGATGGGCTAAAATTTACCTACAAAGAAAAAAAAAAAGAACAGAATGTGTAGCTTCAGTGCGGCTAACGAATTAAGTTAGACCTTGCTTTAAAACTCCTCAAAATTATGGAATTGATCGGTTTCTATATACTCACTGTAATTTTCGAACAGAGCCCCGATTTTCAAACCGACAACAAATGACTCATTTTTTTGTTATTATTGAAATGTTACTTTTGAAGATTTTTCTGTCAGTGCATCAATTGTTATTGTACTTCTGTAATCACAATGCGAGTGTACAAAACGTACGAATACATATACACACTTATATGCCATTAGCTCACTGCTTTGTTTCTTCACTTTTGCTGGAGCAGATAAGACTAATTTCCCAAAATCAATCATGGGTAGTTAAAATGATTAGTAGGTGTTTTCCAATTGTTCACGCGAATTCGGCTTTACATGTTGGGTATTTTTTTTCTTCTATTGTGCAATTAGGCTTTTCAGGTTGGGTACATTTGTGTTTGTTTGTGTAAATTGTGGCGTTGTGAAATTAAATTAGGGTTTTTTTACTGGGTCTTGAGCTTGCAGTTATCATGCTGGGGATAGCGAGCCATTAATAAGCACCAAATGTTCGCAAGAGTAATAACTAAATTTGGGCTGGTTGTGTGTGCACAACCAAAAACCATCTAGTATATATATCTCTCTCTTATATATATACAAACGAGTTAGGGCGATTGTGGTGGCGACAAGTGTCCATTTTTTATACTTTTGCTAGTCGACACGTGTCCCCAATATAACTATATTTACAGTTGTGCCATTTCACCATTTACGGATGTGTCATGCCTTTATTACGGATGTGGCCTTTATTACAGATATGACATGTGCACGAATTTGCCCATTTTTCTGATATCTTCCAAACCAACAAAGTGGTGAGTAGTTTAGTAATTTAATAAGTTTACAGTCATGCTTCATCCACATCTCACTTTTGGTCAAAAGTTTCCCCTACTCAATAGATAAAACCTTCTTTTCTGTCGAATTTCCGCACACGCAATCAGTTCTTCCCTACCCCCAACTCAGATATTACCGAATTTCCGCACACGCAAGATTTTTCTTTTTATATCACTTCTTCCCTTCCTCTCACATATTCCAATTAGCAATAACCACACATTTTTTTCTCTTATTTCAACAATCTTTGTAACATATGGATCGGTGTTGGAGAGGCGAATTTCATTATTCTCCTGGTGGGACGATGACGACGACGACGGATTTGGCAGCAGTCGTGATGCTTTCTCCTTGTGCATCTTATCGGAGGATATTTCAAGAAGAGACAGAAGACGCCGCCGATCATCGCGAACATGGCCGCCATGCTCGAATCTGTTCAACTCTTCACATGTAATCTCTAAACTTAGATCGTAATTCAACCCTCCAGTCGCCACCCTCTTAGCTGACCGCCGGCAGTTGCAAAGCCCAGTCGCCGGCGGTAAAAAAATTGGATCAGTGGTTGAGAGGTTTGGACTGGATCGTTCGTTTATGTAATGTTGTTCATTTTGAAGGAACTCGTGATGTAATAAATATTGTTACATGTAATTTTGGAAATGAGAAAAATTGGAATCCATTGTGTAGAGGACTGCATTAGTTGACTTGAATCATCGAGAGAAGGAACAGAGATATGGGAATGAATCTTCTTAACTGCACGCATTTACAATTGCTCATATTGAGAAAATTCAATATGTTATTTTCGCTGGGGTTCTTTAATAGAATTGAGAGAGAAGGGGCTTATGTGGTGCAAGGAGGATGAGATCTGCACGCATGTCCGAATTATTTTCAGTGTTGATATTTGGTGTATCTGTTTTCATATATGAATGTTTTTACCTGAACTTATAATTATCACAATTGTTGATTGGATTATTCAAATTTTGCGGAGGACCAGAAATCAATCTCCATTCTTTTGACGAAACAAAACCAGATGGAATGGTGTAAATGCTTTGTTGAAGGTGAGCCAGAGATCGACACACAAAAAGTTGAATCGGACAACACCAAATTAGCCGACCTCGACCCGGAGACAAGTTCGACTGTTGAGAAGATGATGGTAAGGATTAAAGTTACCTCTCCATTCATTGGTGCTCTTTTTTTAATTTTTCTTAAATTCATAAGGAAAAATTGTTTCCAATAATTCATATTCTTTTCTCTCATTTGACGAAAGGCAGAAGCAAACGAGAGTCCCAACAAGCGATGAGATGCAGGAAATACTGAAGAAGTTTATGGCAGAGGTGAACGAGAGTGGCAAATCTGTTTTTTTGTTTTTTCTTTTTTTTTTTACCTTTCCATTACACTGCACTGTAATTACAAATACTAACTTCTTTTTACTGTGCTGATGTAAATTTTTGTAATGTTGCAGCATTCGGAGATGGATTTCTCGAAGGCTAAGATCAGATAAGAAGTTTATTCCGAGTCCTAAAGAGTACATAGGCCAAATTGAATTTATGAGGTTGCATTCTATTAAGCTCTGATTTTGATCTTCTTTTATTGTCTTTAAAAAGAACCTACTTTTTGTTTTTCCATAGTTGTTATAAGATTCTGATTTCATGGATTTTTCTTCATTGTGTGCTTATATTTTTCGTTGTGTTAAATGGTTGCTTGGTTTAAGACATTAAGGTGCTTAATGTTTTGGATTGATGCTTAGCTTTTGGAACAATGGAGGTCTCTCATTCAATGAAAACAATGAAAGCTTTTATTATGAGTTGAAGTAACATGGTTTTGCCAAATTCAATTGTAATTATTTAATTTTTTTGGTGCGAGCTACAAAAATGGAATTAAACTTTATGAAACTTTGTGTCCCTAGAGTTCTCATCTAGGACTCCATGGTACAATTCTACCCGTGAAATCTGGGACATGCAAGCATCATTTCTTTTCTATTCTGTAGATGTGATGTGATGTCGTAAATAATTTTGCAAGATTTTCTCACTCATTTCAGTTCTTTTCTTCCATCAAGCCTAGCATTCTCCGTCTTCACCTCTCTATACAAAATTCCCAACCGATTTTATTTCCAAAATTATGGTAAGGAAGAACAACAAATGCGAGAGGATGGAGAGAATAAACGAAATTTGGTAGGTAGCATTTGGATATTTTCAACCTTTTCAGCAACTTGCAAATTCTCTGATTCTTAGGTCGTTCACAAAATGCATGCTTCTCGCGCACAGCCGTCGACGGTGACCGCCAGATCCAGCGCAACATGCCACAAGGAGAACCGCGTTGTCTGCCACTACTGAAAGAAGGGAATTTTTCAAAAATCAATTAAATTGTAGATCCACAACTCTATTCAGCACAACGGTAAATACTCTTCAACGGTCCTTGAATTTGTGGGGTTTCGTGATTATGGGCTCGACTCTCACCTCTGATTCATTGAATTTGTAGGGTTCATTGGTTCTATTCGATTGTTGTTTGTAAATTGTCACTAGAATAATTTTGTTTTCTATTTTTTTGCCTTAACATATTGGTTTCTGAAGAGTCTAGGAAGAATTTATTGTTGTTGAAGTAAGTAATATAAGTGAAGGTAATTAAATTTCTCTCTCGCTATAGAAGCCAAATGATAAAGCCTTCAAGTTTTTGGTTGTTTTCTCAAACGAGTATGTCATCCTTCACAGGTTGTTTCCTACATGAAATACCATTGTAACTGAGGAAGTTTCGGTCGTTCCTTGGGGTAAGATTCTGATAAATAACCCAAATTACGTTGTTGTGATTTTGTACGAGAGTAAATCTTCTTTGAGCTAATAATGTTCATGACACCGGTTTAAGAAGAGTGGTTTATCTAATGATTAAGGAACTTTTTTCCTTCTACAGATGAGGTTACTCAAACCTGAACCCCATGGCCAAGGAGTTCGTGTCGCCATCCCTTTTCTTCCTTGACGGCAACTGCCCGAGGTTTCTGGTGGCGCTGCACCCTATCATAGTGGCACTTTTTAGTTCACCGCAACTGGTTTTCTATTGCAGTAGCCTATGATCCATGGAGCTCAGAATAGAAATTCCTTTAGAAAGGTTGGTGTTAATTTTATATGTTAATTAATTAAAATTACTATTCTATGTTGGGTGTTGCTTTTAAAAGTTTGATGTTTTTCTGTTGTGTTAAATACAATCTCTGTTTTGGTTTTGTAATGGGTTGTGTTGTAATCAATCAAAATTATTAGGGTCGACCCTAAGGAGAAAGCTGTTTTTATTTTTTTTTTTTAAAGCAACTTTGAATCATATTTGGAATAGCTTATTTCAGTATCATTTTCTGTAATGAGTTTTTAGGAGGCTATGTAGTCATGTTTGATGATCTTTCAATGTTGTAGACAAATAAATGTTATGTTCATGGAAGAAGGCTGAATAACGAACAAGCAAGGCTCAGAGGGAGGAATTGGGATGATTTTCTATGTCTATGACATTGATCATCAGGTTATGAGACTTCCGTCATGTTTGTGACTTTGTGTGTGTGTGTGTAAGGTCCCTAAAATCTTCTCTTTACAATACAAATTATGGGTTGCTTTGGTCAATTAATCCCTCTTGCTTTTTCTTTGATTAGTATACACGTTTTTTGAACTGTCAAAATATCCTCGGATTTATC